TTGCGACTGTAGTACTAAGAAAACAGTTAAATTTTAAAAGCGCGGTTATAAGATCTAACAGATCTTCTTGTTATAAATGCTATCCAATCACAGCCTGTGTTATATTTATTTTTCATTTTACAAAGTAGTTAATTCATCTCTTCAGTCTTCGGAAGCAGCAATTACTATTTTCAATGTCTACAGGTACAGATTTCACACCTTTTGTTTTTACAAACGAGTTCGTTTTCCTCAGAATGAGAAGCACATTGACAGTTACCAATCATATTAGGAACTTTAAAACTTTCAATAATAATCACTTATTATAAATGAATTTGGTATCATCCATATCCATTCAGCTGCCCCTGCCAAATTTCAGTGGCAAATTTTCAGCTTCTCATGCATTCAAGTACTTTTTATTCCTGCAGCTTGTGAGAAGTTCTATTTTTCTTTTTCTTTTCATTTTCAACGACTTTGTATGGATTTGGTAAATTTCAAAGACTATTATTTCAAGGCCTATGGGAACTATGTAAGCTTAACTATCTAACTAACATGTATTTCTGTTTGCATAATGGATGATGACGATCATGTTTGAGCATTTCCGCACAGTCCTGGCAAATGAGTCCTCGTCAATGTTTATTTCCTAATTTTGCTTTAGTCAGCTGACAGCGTCTCTGTTGGGGGCACATAACTATCTGCTGGGCCATGTGCATTGCTTCTGTCGTACCCAGTCCCTGACGGACCACCACCTCCACCAGACTCAATGATCGGACGCTTATAGACACCAAGATCTTTACGACAATTCGGACATTGGTGCCCAACATCTTTTGCACAGTCTGTACAAAATGGAATACAACAACATCTGCAAAAAACAAAATGTTATAATGTAAACTTAAAAAGCCTTCAGGAACAGATGATGTTTTCTGAGAGAAACCTTAGAGAACTTGACACCTGCATGTTGTTTTTATAAATATGTTTGTTTCATCCCACTTCTGGTAAAAATCTATTTTATTTTGTAACGATAAATTGAAGTCAATTCCAGAAATTGACTGCAAACAATGCTCGATAGGTTCGAGAACAAGTCTGCAACAAGTCAAAAGAAAAGAAAACCAGTAGGCATCTTAGAAAGTAAAACATTTATTAGAAGTTGTCCCTTTATCATTTTCCTAATTCTCCTTGTCCTTGCCTCTTATGAAACTTTTTGGAACTTGAACTTCGGACCTTGGTTTTAAAATAATAAATAAAAATAAATTGACCACTCCCCCAATGGTTTTTTTTTTAGGGCCAATGGAATTACAAATGATGAAACAAATACAATGTAAATTGACATAATGTAGTTAAGATCCCAACTGGCAGGAGGTGGACCAGTTGGCTATTTACAAGTGTAACTGAGGAGTTGAACTCATGACTACCAAGAACAACACCAGCTTGTGGTCAGAATGGGACTTAAACCCATGACCTCTGGATTTCAAGTCCAGTGCCCTAACCACTCGACTGTGCTGCCTCCTTAAATAATTTCACAAAATTAACAGAAACAAAAACAATACAGGATAAATATCTGGACTGATAGTGACCTTAAATATCAGACATGCTTACCCAAACAAACTAAGCATAAGACAGTACATAAAGGTAGTGTTGCCAACTCGATGGTCTATCTTGGTGACAATAGTTGCTCCACAATGGGGGCAGCGCATTGATACCGGCAGCTGTTTGAGAATTATTGGTTGCGGAAGAGAGATAACAGGCTGTTGAATCACTGTTCCTGGTGCACCATATCCAGCCTAAAAGAACATTCAACAAAAAGACATCAGTCAGACCAATGGTTGAACGTTATTTACATGTATTGCATATACAGGGAACTAGCTGACATAAGGCAAGGCAAGTACCCGCACTAGCTGCAGTCCTAACATTTAATTGCTACTAATATTAAAATTAATCTACCGATAATACTACCGCTACTAATTGCTGCTAAAATCTCCCACCTTGTGTTTGACCTAATTTGCTGTACACAACATTACTCTTAATAATCTGTTGATTGCAGCAGAAACTTTCAACTTTCAACTTTAGTTTGACTATCATACACAAGCTTCAGATTCATTATTTGCGACAGTCAGACAATATTTCACTTATTTACTAAAATTCTAAATGCTTGACTGAAAAATAAAATAAAATTTGAGCACTAGGTAGTGGAGTACATGTTACCCATGTTTGACCAGTCATTCTCATATTTTGCCTGAAATATGTGCATCCAGGGCTCTTACGGCCGCAATAGGTAGACTTTAAATTCCTGAGTCAAAACAACAGTAGCTACCTGTTCCGTCTTGAAAATACAAGGTTTATGTACCAATACAAGGCTCATATACACTCATGCATCCTCCCACATCATCTCTTTGACCAATAAAAAAAACAGACAGTCAACTCATACCCTGTGGACACCTCGCTATTATGGACACCTGTTATTATGAACCGAAGCTAAATTTCCAGCGGAAACTAGAAAAAAATGTATGGAAACAACTCCTGCTAATACAGACACCTACAAGGATCAATCATGTCTTCATATCTTTCTCTGCATTTCAAATATATGATCTTTCACTTGCATCTTCACCATCTATGGTATATTACAAACTCACATGACCAGCTCCCAGTTGGCTTGATAGCTCAGTTGGCAGAACACTGCACCGGTATCACAGAGGTCATGGGTTTGAATCCCATTCAAGCCTGAATTTCTTGTTCAGCCTTTAATTTCACAACTGCTTAAGTTGTGTGTATAGATCTGATGATCAATAATGTCTTCAATCAACAAGCTCTGTTGTACAAAATTATTCTGGTATAGAAGCATACTTCAAACACTAGCTTCTCCCAAATCAATCAAAATTCACAAATAATTTTAATGTATTTTGGCAGGACTGCATTCCCACTGGGAGTTTTGAGGAGAATGTTGTTATATGCCTTCAATAAATCCTAATTTTGTACAACTCTGGCATGACGTCTGAATGAGATCGTGTCTCTGATGGGCTACAGTCTAACCTAAATTGCAATAGCATGGCAGAAGCATGACGTTAGAACTGGACCTAAATCATCCCATGTCAGCGTTAATACGTGAAAATCCGGTCTGTAACATGCCCGAATCTTGGGTAAGAAAAACATCCCATGCCATCCTTTTTCTAGCAGTTCATGGCACTTTAGTGACTTTAGTTTTTCGCCAAAGTAAAATAAAAGCACTAAATATCGCATAACTATCAATTAACATTTGAGAAAGTCTTATTGGCAGGGTTTTGATAACCTTTTTATAGTTAATGGTTCTGCCTACTGCTTCAATGAATGTTATGTTTTGCAGTATGATCAAAAGTTTGCAGAGAAATAATAGAAGGCAGATCCAACTTTACACTACTTAGAGGTATTCAGAACATGCTACACTTAAGTAGAATTCAGAGTTTTTAATGAATTAGAGGAAAAAGAAACAAAGGAACTCTTTGTTTCACTAGCCAATAGGTGACGTCATTTACATTTATACCTTTTTAAATAAATATATTTCTTGGCCAATTCATGTTTTAGTGAAATCGTGTTCTTTTACTACAATGAAAGGCTTAAATAAATTCACATCATTTCACGAATTTATGTCCTTCTGAATTTCAAGATTTTAATGAATTTTGACATTAATCACGCGCCAACTTACTTGTGATGTCATTAGCTGCATGATCAACTGAACGATACTTGGCCGAAAATACAGAGTTCTTAATTGCTCTTTGTTTTGAAAGATATCACGAGGATTTGCTTGCGAGGGTACAGTGTTGAAGTTGGAAAGCTATTTGAAAGTTGCTACATAAGTTATAAGCTTATTATCAAAACAGCGACATAAAATTCCGTAAAATTAGAAATCGTAATACCTGATAGTAGGGCTGGGACGGTGGATATTGCCCTGGTGGCGGTGGTTGTTGGTAATAGCCGGGCTGTTGAGGTGGATAATTCGGCGGATAATTCGGTGGATAGTTTGGTGGATACTGGCCTTGACTCATAGCATAGTTCTGCCCTGTGGGAGCTGCCATCACGACCAGAAAACACAAGTCGTGTCCGTTTTCTTCAAGTGCACAAATTCCGTGATCGACAGCTGCAGGGTAAACACGCTTTGCGTAATGGGATAGCCTTGGGAAACAGCTGAGTCCACAAAAGATGTTGCGTGACTTATTTCGAACCTTGAGTTGAAGTTCAGGCCTCTTCGACAAAAGATTTAAATTTCAGGTGATGGTAGCCCTTCAAGGCCCTCAACATCGTACCAAACTACTCCAAGATGACGGTACAAGTGGTCGTAAGACACTCTGTGGTATCTAATTTGATTGCGTGTCAGTGTCACCTTGCCATTCCCAGTGTCACGCAGGAATGTAACACTAACTGGAGCCTGACTGGACGTGTGACCTCTGCAAAACTAAACCTGTTGCTCTGAACGATCGATGCTCTGAGGATGATGGCCAAAATAGTTGGCTGGCCTTTTCCCTACATGCAGATAATATGGGGTAGAGGATTAAAGGAAAAAATCTAGAAAGTATTCACTACCGTTTTAGAATAGGTTCTCAATAGATGAATTGCCAGAAAATCCCACGAATTTTAGGAGAAGCTACTTTTTCAGGTCATAAATAGGGTAGGGAAAATCGCAGATTTTGGTCATAAATAGGGTAGGGGTTTTGGGAAGCGAGCCACACACCCCAACCCGGGGGGTACCTCTTAGGGGTTATTTTCAAAGTTTCCAACGAGCACCCCCGTCCTTTTTATATGGAAGTCCCCCCCCCCACCCTCCTGCGTATAGCCGAAACCGGTTAATTAGGACACCAAATGGGAGAACACCATAGTTGCTGATGCCTTTATCCGCTGCTCTTATACATGATTAAGAATTCACGAAGTTCTCCGTTGAAGTTTTCTAAGAATTCCAGTAGTGGTGATTAAACAAAAGAGCAGATGTATATTTTTGGAACAGATGACACAGTGACCACAGTCTCCAAAGAGATAAGAGATGGGATTTAAGTGGAGAGGAAAAGGAGAAAATCTAGAAACTAAGGGTTTTACTAATTTTTGTGTACTGTTCGTTAACTAGTTGTAGTAACAACCTCGCTCTATGGACACCCACTTAATATGG